ATGGCATAGTGCAAAACAATAACTCAGCCTTTTTAAGATTTGGAAATCTGGACATTGGAAAAAGAAAACTACTTGGGGAAGAAAAGAAGAGAGTGGTAGATGCTGAGGACTCAGGAATGATCTGAAGGGAAGAATGGATCCTACCTAGAAAGAGGAAAGTGGAAAAAGGAATGGACAATCTTCATTTCCTTCCTAGCTCCTGCATCATGGCTTGAGAGAAAGGCTGAATCTATGGTGACAAAGTGAAAGTGGAGACCAAAGAAGAGAAGAATGCAGCAGTGGAACGGAGTAGTGGAACAGACCAGTGGATCCTGTCCACTGCGATAGGTGGTGACTCCAGCTCAGGCACAGCCATGCCCCCTGCAGCATGATCCCAGGGCTCAGGACAGCTGGCTCCCAGTAATATGTTTCTACAGAAACTGGGTGAGGGACAGCCATGTGAACACATTGTGGTCAGTGAACTGTGATTAGGTCAGCAAGAGATACCTAGGGGGTTTAAGCTAAGCAGCTCAGGCCTCACATCCATGGTCAGATACCAGGGCAACCTGAAGCACTAGGGATTTGAAAATCTTGGAACTGGCAACCTTGACCTAAATGTGCTACTTGCTGATGAATCTACTCAGCATAGATGTGGGACCTGACTGCCTTTTTCTGTCTACCAACGTGAGCAGGGACATGTTTTGAATTGGACACTGCCCTAAAACTGTAGATTCAGGAAGAAAACCACATGTTCGAAATCACAGAACAATTTCTATTATTTTTTGGGTTTTCTTTGGTTTGTTTTTCTCTCTCTCTCTCTCTCTCTCTCTCTCTCTCTCTCTCTCTCTCTCTCTGTGTGTGTGTGTACTTTTTGTTCCTTTTTTCTTCTTCATAAGTATCTTGGGGCATGGGACATCTTCCTATGTCCTTCTGCCTTACTTATCTGTCTTTATTACACATTAGAAATAAAGACAGGAAGACAACCACTGATGTAAGAAAGCTAACAGAAGCCTTTGTCAGCCAACTTGCTCTCCAACTAAAATTCTTAAAACAATACTAAGACAACAATGATCAATATTTAAGCTTTATTGTGAATCAGTTGTTCTAGGCATTTTACATATACTATCTTATTTGATCCAAGAAATTTGGTACTATTATGGACTCTCATTATACAGAGGAGAAAACATACTCAGAAATATTAACATGGTAGCAAGTGATTGAACCAGGGTACAGTTCAACAAATTTGGCTTTTTCTTCTTCTTCTTCTTTTTTTTTTTTTTTTAAAAAAAAACACATGGTCTTGCTATATAGTTCATGCAGGCCTTGAACTTACTAGTTAGCCCAGGCTGGCCTTGAGCTTGCGATCCTCTTGCATCATTCCTCAGCCACTACACATTGCCTTACAGATGATACTTTTTACCACTACTTCTTAACCTACTTGTACTCCTCACCAAGGATAAACTCACTGAAGTGGAATGACATTATTAGTAATAATCCAAAGTTTAATTCAATACTATTTTAGAGTAAAAAATGAAAAGATAAGGCACCAACTTGATATGATACTTCATCTGCGAAAAAGATGCTATTAGAACTACAGAGACTCACTGATTCATGAGCAGTAACCTTAACAATAAACATTTTGTATTACTTTTTAATTGATACTTATTATGTTGTTACAGCTGTTTTGGGCATTGAGGATGTAAGAGTGGATAGGGTAATCCTCCTGTTCTCACCCTGATATGTGGAATATAAAAAAAGAAGACATGAAAGTAGAAGGAATACTATTGTTAGACAAGAATAAGGAAATAAGGGGGAAAGGGAGAGAGGTATAAAAGAGGATAATATAATTAATAGGCATTAATAAATTAATTAATTTAAAAAACCCCAATAACCTCTATAAGTCTCTTTATTGACTTACACCATATTGTGTCAAGTCATAACAATCTCCAAATAAATACATGAA